GAGCACCTTTGTACCTTATGGAATCTTCCACCCCGTATGAAAAAGCTTGTTGAACCTTCCCATCCACAAGTCCCTGCTTTAATAACAATATGAGCAACAACTTTTGTCAGGTAGAAAAGATGGTTGAATGCAGCTCCTGAAACCTAAATAGCAACACCAGGGTCTTCTAGTCTTCCTTGCCTTCCCAGCACTCCTGGTGCTTTCTTCTTTGGGAATGGAGACAGGGAGAATTTTGAATCTGGATGCCAAAACAGTAGTATTGTGCTACTGGGAGACCAGCTTTTGAAACCTAGTTTCACATACAAATTAAAATTTGCCTGTTGGAATGTGTTCCTCCCCTGGCCCCCATCCCTGACATTCATTTTTAATGCTACTGAGCAAAATGGATGCTCTGTAAGTTTTATCTTATCTAGGATAAGATAGACACAGTATCTAGAAAATGCATGTCACCTAAAGAAGGAATGGTTACTGATAATGACAGTTTGTGGTGTAAACTCTATGCTGTGTGTGCTGTGATATGTTAAATCTATACCTCATATATTGTTTGCAGTTACTATAAGAATTGTGTCATTTACTTTCAGTTGCATGTGACTTCTTCTGTGCCATTTCAATAATCATTAGCTTTAAAAGGGTAGATGACTCAGCGTTAGCTGTAGAACCTTCTGACTCCTTCCCGATCCCTTGTTGTAACATGAAACAAACTTATGGGGATTGTACCTCGTCATCTGATGCATGGTGGCCTGAGGCAATTATGTTTCTTTGTTTGAAGTGGGCAGCGTTTATCACAAGAGTCTAATACCACTGGGGGCGGTCCCAATGGATGTACCAGGGCTTAAATGGGCTAGGAGAGACTCAAGTGTGTTCCTTCTGGGTCAAGACTGAAGCATGTTAGTGAATCAGTCAGAGGGAACTAGCACTACCACAGTCTTTCCTGGAAAAAGTAAATAGAACTGCAGCCTATAGTGCTGCTAGCTCGGCACCTCTTACAACAACTGAATTAACCTTTTAAAAATGCTCTTGTAACAGGATAAGCATTTCCTACATCTACTGTAGAGGGCTTTTGCCAATTGTTGCTAACAGTTGGACAGATTCTTCCTTTCTGAAAGTCCCACGAGGCAACTGAACAGGGTCAGTTCAAGCAGTTTGGGGGCCTCCAGCAAAATGATTCACTTGGGCTAGGGACAGACATTACACACAAACTGGCTTAAGTGATCAGAAACTGGTTTAAACCTGTAGCAGAGGGTAAGTTCAGTGCACGTAAACCAGTTTCAAAATAGCTGAAACTGGTTTAAGATAAACCTGGCTGAATGTAGTATCAGCCTTAACTGATTTGGGTCAAACCGGTTTGTGCAATATCTGTCCCAGACGCCTTCCTGGTTTAAGTTAAACCAGAGTCCCCCAGCATCCCAGGATGTTTTGCAGCTCTGGGTGTTGCTGTCTGCTCCAGAGAGCAGAGCTGATCCTGTCCCCCTGCTCCCTGGCCAGAGCTCCGAGGAAAGACTGCAGGTACAGCAGGGTCTGCCTGGCTTCCCTGCCCCACCTCCTGCTCGCTGCTCAAGCAGGGATACCCCTTCTCCCTCCCTCTCCCACAGCATGGACCCTAGGCATGTGATATGCTAGCTAATGCTGGGGAGGGGGGGTGTCTGTCCATGTCTATGTCCAATTTCACTGGGACACGGACAGAACAGTGTCCCCTTAGGGCTTTTGGAGCTAATCAGCAGGTCAACTGGTAATGTCCTTCTGTTCCTTCCTTGGAAAAAGCTGTTTGAGAAGAGCTTGAACTAATGAGAGAGGATTTTGTTTTGTGGATGGGCTGAGTCCAGAGGGGATGTCTTCACGGTTACAAACTGGTTCAGCCTAGCCAAGTTAGGCTAACCTGCATAAATTGAATCAATTCAGGCTCAGGCTTTTTGAATATCTATCCCTAGCCTTGGGCCCCATGGTTGCCAGGTCGAGTATTTGCTTTGTGTCTCCCACACTCCTCTGCTGTGCCCAGAGCTTGAGGGGCAGTGCACAGGGGTGTTGGAGAGACTGTGGTTACTTCTCTTGTTAAATAGGATACACAATGTATCATGACTGTGCTGAAGGAAGGAGCCATCTAAGGGCTGTTGCCACTTAGCTGTGCTCACTCTTCATGCTGCTCTAGGGTGTGATTAGCAAAACACAAGGGGTCATGGGTGGCTTTATAAATAAGGATGGCCTGAACCTCTAGGTTCAGCAGTTGAATCTGACTGCGAGGGGCGAGGAGCTGGGGCCACAATGGCACCTCTGCTTTGTTTTCTCCCCCAACCCATTCTTCCTGACACAATGGAAGCTCTTCCTGTGACTTTGACTAGGATGCCTAGACTTGGCTGTATCATCTCCCCACCACCATCCTGCAGCAAACCTCTGAATTTGTTGGTCCTGACTCTGCCATGGTATGACCCCCCCACAAACTGAAACCTTCTCCTGATTACCTGTTCCCCAAAAGTAGTAGTAGAGGAGAAGGCCTTTTGCATGTGGCTGCCAGAAGAGCTGGAGGTCATGGGTGGTAGTGTGGAGGCTTATGGACTTCTCTTGGAGTACTTTAGGTGGGTATGGTTAGGCAGCTAAATACCTGGCCATTTCTGTTTGAATGGTCTGTTTCTGCAGGAGACCCACCTGGCCCCCCCAGAGAAAGGAATAATTCCAGGGAAGCTCAGTAAGCCTGCACTCTGGTACTTTCCATTTTCTTTTGTCAGGAAATAATTTAGCTGGGGACTTATTTGATCCATAACAATAAAAATTAAACTCTCTAAAGACATGATTGTAGTACATTTTATTTTCACTTATTTAGCACTTGCACGGTGCTAGGGCTTGATGACCGGCATAGCTGATCTCTCTGGCCTTGCCCAGAGCTTTGCCATAAAAGAGAAATCAAGTTTAAAAATCGTATTCAGGCATTACTGGAACCAATTTTGCGGGCATTTATAATATGGACTCCCAGCAGATGGGAGACCTTGCATCAAACCCCTTTACTTATGCTATAGCAATATAAAATAAAGCATACTATTTCTTACCTTTTGCTGAAGTGTCATAAAACATTAACTAACCAATCATTTTCCTGCTACTTTGAGTGGCACTGCAGGAAGTTACAGAGCTTGACAGTATGTCTTTACCATATTCCTTAAGAAACAGCCAGGTGCAAAGCCTAACAACTATGTTTAAGAGGAGAGAGTAAAAGAGAACAAGTTCACAACTGCATACCTGATGCCTCCCTGATATAAATCTAACACATCTTGCAAGAACTGTGTGTGACAGACTTTCCTTTCTCTCTTGCCTTCCTCGCCCCTTACTCCCACTCCTTTCTCTTTAATTTGCTTATGGATGATGTCTAGGGGGACTGTTGAACTGTTCCGCAAGTAATATAGGAAGAAGGGGTCTTGTTTCCTATGACAGAATCTAGTGCAAACATAGTAGCTCTCTGGCTACACTCCATGTTTCTCTTTCTGCATGAGGTGTAGGAGAGCTCACTAATCCCCTGCAAACATAATTCATAAGCAAATATAAATTAAAATGAGGGGTGGGCAGGGGAGGATATTGCCACGTCCCTATATTCAGTTGAGTGGTGTTTTTTCTATGCTTTTGAAATTGGTCTCTTCCTCCCCATCTCCCCAGTTCAGATTAGCTTAGATTTGATGATCTTTGGTGCATGTTGTCAAGTTACCCAGAGTGCTGGAGACTGGGGTGGGAAACAGTGAAGCCTGATGCTTGTAGTTGTGTTGGAGGATGGGAGGGAGGGAGCTGTTCTAATTCAAAATGTCAGATTAGTCATGATATTTTTCTTGGGCAGGGACGGGGAGAGTGAATGCAGTTGCTAGTATGAGTTCATCTAATGTATTTCATAAATGATATCTATGGAGTCCCAAGTTTGGTGCCGGAGGGACTCTACTTGGCTTCTGTACATCCACTTCAAAAGCCATACGTAACACCCCCCATTCTAACACAGTTTTGCTTGCTGTCTCTTTCTGTGTGTGGTTGGGCCACTGGAGGCTTATCTTTGTTGATACTAACAAACCTGGCCTTTAGCTCCAGCAGGAGATGCTCCTGCTTTTATATCCTTAGCTCTCTGGTTCCATCTCCAGTGACATCCTATCCAAGGGCATTACATCAGATGCAAGTGGACTGTGATTATATTTAGTTAGTGCACTTCTCTGCAGATTTCTCACAAATGGTCCTTGTTTAGGATCCAATCATGAAACATTCAGCTATGATTGATGGGTGGAGATAATTGGAGTATAAAGCTCATCATCTTTTGAGATGCTTAATATATTATTATTTTTTTACTTTTTAGGTTTGGAAGGCGTTTTGAGTCCCCTCTTTTGTGGCAGAGCATTATCATGATCATTACTATGTTACTGATGCTGAAACTATGCACTGAAGTACGCGTGTCAAATGAATTAAACTTAAAACGCCGCTCCTTTGCAGGTCAGTGATGGTAACAGGTTGTTCCTAAGCACAGTGTTTCCAAATTAATTTTTTTAAAGTATCTATGGTTGGGTAAAAGTTCTGTATGTATTGCATCAAACCATCGTTTCTTGATGATTCAGCATGGGACTTCCCAAATGTTTAATTTAAAATAATTTTCTTCCAAATAATTTTTAAGATTTAATTTATTTCTAAATGGGTCTTAGTTCAGCCTAGAGACTGACTTCTCTTCAGTGTTCAATGCAGTCCCTTAGGAAGTGATTCTGAAAGTCATGCTAAAGTGCCAGCCTTGACTATACTACAGTCAAGCTTGAATGAGCGCAGAACTTCTATTCCTTTTGCTGTACTTTCATGCCAACTCTCTAGGTCAGAGAGATGCAACTGGCCAGTGTTGGAAACCTCATTTTGCTGTTTCCAACTTTTGTGTGGTTGCTGGTACATGAAATATTTTATTCTTGTCACCATATTGTCAATGTAAGGGGTGATAACATGGCAATGTCCCTTGAATGTCTAAAATGAATACATTGTAGTACCACATGTTGCTGTGGTCTTGCTGTATGCAGAGCTTTTTGATGTCAGTATTTCCAATGTGGGCCTGAATATCATTTTTTTTGGTTTAAATAGATCTTGTAATAATGCTATTTGCATTGTAGCAACTTTCTTCTTTTAGTTTGGAAGTGTGAAAAATGCAGACTTTTATTTGAGTAGTGTCAGAATGATGAGATAGCCATGATGGTCCCGAAATTATGTGAGGGGCAAGAATTTCTTAGTGTGATATCTTTTATTGGTCCAGCTATGTAGCTGGGATAAAGTTAGACAAGCTTTCGAATGTAAGACGTTTTTCCGCAGATCTCTTACTTCCACATCTTATTTTCCGCCTGTCCTTGTTGGTGACAGACTGCAAACCTGTCAGCTTCTCACTTGTTTTGGCAACATAGGCGTGTAACTTTTTTTCCTCCATCTGTTTCTTTCCTTAAGTGAGGGTCTGCTCCAGCTTCATGTACCACAGCCTTTCCAGGGTGAGCGAGCCCGAAAAGGCCATACATGGTGCTCAGCAACAGGGTAATCCATTTAACAGATTAATACATTATCCATTTAATAGAAAGATAGTTCCTACCCTCATGCCCCAGTTTCTTTGGAGTGTTTTGTAAAGTTGCCCAGGTAAGTGACCTCCTAAAGAACATGAAATCATCTGCAACTTTCTCTTCCCCATCCATTATTCTGTTTTGTTGTCTGGGACTTTGTTTTCTGAAAGTGTTAGTTTTAAGAGGATGAATGACTTTAGAAAGCTTCCCACATTTGGCAGGGATTGAAGTGTAAAGAAGTATTGGGAGAAGAACATTTACTCTCTGCCTCAGGATTCCTGTTGGCTGTGGAAAGAGCAGAAAGCTTCCCCCTGTGCGTGTCTCCATGTTCACCCAGACTGCAGCACATTGAGCTAGGTTGCAGTTGGCAGAGGGCCCTGGAGGTTGGCCTGCCAGCCTGGGTGTGCTCTAGCTGAGTTCAGTGTGCTTGGAGGGAATGGCTGGAGCACAAGGGTACTTCAGCATGGGGCTAGCTTGCAGGCAGCTCCCGCACTGGAGCAACCGCATGCCCCAGCCAGCTGGCTCAGTGTCTACATGTGAGATGCTGCGCACAAAAAAACTCCCACATCAGGGTAGGACTTGTATTTACAAGCCCTGTGCTGCTGTGGAGTTTTAGTTTTGTGTGCCCCTGTTAGGGTGCATCTATAGATGCTGAGACATTTACTGCAGTGAATTAGGCAACTGCACAGTAAACATCTTGTGTAGACATCTCTGTGTTTGCATTTTGTATAGTTAAGGAGTAAATCTTTGGGCCAGCCCACCTTCTCTTCCTCTGTCTGGCAGGCTTCTTACATAACTGCTAGAGATGGGAATCCAATCCAGCCCAGGACACCTTCCCTTTTAAAAACCCTGCCTGTACTGATATACAGTTACCTATTGGGGAAACCAATTTTTTCATTAGTATGTAAGGATACCTGTTGCAGGAGCTTGTTGTGTCACTGGATGTCCTTCCCCAGGAGTCAGTTTTTGCTATATGTTTAATCAGCCAGAGAAATTAATTTGGCCTGTTGAGGGCTTTTGCTACAAAGAAAAAAAAGAAGTAAAAAGCTTATTGTATTTTTTTGCAAACTGTCTGCTACTGGAACAGCACAGTACAACTGTGTGGTTCTCCCAAGTTTTCTCTCCCACAGCTTTCTCTTAAGTGATAAGGCTATTTAGTGATATGATTACAGTAGTAAGATTTACCGGATGGGGGAAAAATGGAAACTATTAACACGCAGAATCTCTGAATTCACTGGTAGTTGTAACATACTGACTTGAAATCAGCATTTTGTGGTGCGTAGGCATAAATGGTTCTATATCAAGAGAGGAAGGATAGGCTTGAGGTTAAAGCATACAACTGGGAATCACGTGATCTGTGTGCTTAATCTTGGCTCTGCTACAACTTATCATGTGATTCTGAGCTAGCTCTTAAAATCTTTCTGTACTTCACTTTCTCCTAGACTAAGCTTCAGTTTAGTACTTTTGAGTAGTATTTGAGATCTCTGGATGGAGAGTACCAAATTTTGTATTGTGATGTGATATATCCAAGCACTGTAGGACTTCTTTAATCTTTTTTTCCTCCTCTCTAATGTCCTCACAAAATAATTGTAAATTAAAAAGTAAAAATGTCCTTACTCCATCTTCATTTAATGGTGGCTACCTTATTTTGCTTTCTAATAACCTTGGTGCACATTGGCCCAATAGGTCTTGAATTATACAGAAGTAATATGGGGCTTTTTTTTGTTTGTTTTCCATCTCCTTACCCTGTTGACCTTCCTAGTTATCCAAAATATCCCTCTGGAATAGCTAGTTCAGGAGGAAGTGAACTTTTTTATCTTCCTGGCAGTAAGGGGAGTGGTCACTCTCAATCCTGACAGACCAGTTTTGTGAGTTTGAACACTGGTTTGAAGAGCATGTTAGTGGCAGTTAGTTAGGTATATTCATAAACCCATTTAGTTGGAGCAGTGTAAATTGCTGACATGTTCATTTATCTGGTGTCCCTTTCAGCTTAAAAAGTGTAGCCTCCCTAGGCTCTGTCAGAGCGACACAATCTCCTCTGAGAGTTATTTCTTCCTGCCTTGTTATTAGGGAAACTTTGCTTCTTTTGGTTTCTTTACTGGAATATTTATTTCTTTCCCTCTGGGACTTCTAGGAAAGATTTATCCTCTTATGCACTCGCAAACTGCAAGTCAGTTGGAAGTAGGAAAGCGCATTTCATGCTGCTGTTTGTTCTCCCCCCACCCCTTTATTCAAGAGGTCTCTCATAATTGTATATAGTCGACTTAAGAGGGATTACATCCTGTTTTGTGCATCCTGTTGTGGGTTTTTTTTTTTTATAGCTGAAGTTTTTTATCGAAGATATAGGATACAAGAGACTTTTCCTACCATTGAGAAGTTAAAATTCCCTTTCAAAAGGATGACAATGTGCTATGAAAGCTATGTTAATATGAGGCAGGCTTTAGATAATGTCACAGACATAAGTTATTGGATTTTTTTTTTTTAATTCCATTTTGATCATACTCAGACTTTTGTATTTTTGGATATCCTGACACTATTGTAATGGTAGTAATAGCCCTCCTTGGTCATTGCCCAGTTTAATTGGGTGTCTGCAGCAGTAGTGTGCATTGTGGCTGGATTGTTTAGTACAGAATAGCTCAGTTTGCTGGGGTTTTATTTTATTTAAGCTCTTTTCTTTGTATAAATCAGCTTTTCATTGTTGCTCTGTGCATTCTTTCGTACATCAGTGCAACTGTGCTAAAAGGGCAAGATTTTAAAAAGTGACTATTGGTGGGTTTTTTTCTCTCTTTCTGGAGGGGAAGAGCTTCTCTTACGGGATGCCTGGTTTAGAGTCAGAATGTGAGGCAATCACTCTCTGAAAATTGAGTCCCTTTTTAAAGGAGATTCAAGCTGCCATCTAAAAATGGAAGCAACTAAAATTACTAAGCACTTTTTGAATGCCCTGGGCAGATATAGTTAGGCCCAATGTGGCAGTGATGTCTTTTCCTTCCCCCCAGCCCTATCCCCAGTTGTATCCCTGGAATCTTTAGTTAGTAGCATGTGGCCAAATGCAAGGTACACTTTTATCTATTGGTCCTAAGCAAAGACGACTTTTACCTTGGAAAGTTTCTCTTTTGGCACATGGGTGGCTGCAGTGTCTTGCACTGATGGTGATGGCAGTTCCCATTTAGTTATTATTTGTCTTGCAGCATTTGCCTCTGACTAAGTGGAACAAGAACTCCACTGGGTTGTTTTGTTTTATTTTTTTAATCAACTTGTTTATTCTCCTCTGTTTTGGAATCTTTCCATCCATCTAGTGTTGTCTTATCCCTATTTACTGTAATGCCCTGATCCCTTGAAGAGAGCCCTGGAAAAACAATATTGGGCAGTATGTGGTTTATAACTGGAATTCAGACCTGCAGAGGGTGTGTGGAATAAAATTAAATCTTTCAGGATATGAATTACTTGCATTGGCAGTTTTCTTCATCAGCCTCTGACACAAGTGATTGTAAGTTTAAGTTGGTTGAAATCCATTCTTGAACACAGTTCCCTGCAAAACCCTGAGGCAGATCATTGTTTTTACATACTGTACTTACCTGTCCCTACGTAATTCTTTTCTGAAAATCTCTTCCACCCTTGCTTTTACCTGAGGTTATAAGACAAAAAGAAGCAATATAAACTTTATTTCTGTAGAAAACAGATGCATATTTGTACCATAACTTGAAGGTTGCGTGTTACTTGCAGTTTTTGTTTTCTCCCCTAGTTTCTCTCCCATCGCATTGTTATGGGGTCATATACTGAGACCATTCAGCTTTCAGTCTTCCCTGAAATCTTGGGGAAAGTCCTGTAGATGGCATGGAATCTAAAACTCTTTGGCATGATTTATTTTTTTATCAGCAAAGTGTACTAACCAACTAAACTTGAATACAAACTAAAAGAGCAACAGTTGTATTGGATCTAACTAGCTTGTTTTGTCTTCTCTTCGTCCCTGTTCTCAATTTATTTTTTTTATGTAGCCGCAGATAGTAAGGACGAAGACATCAAAGCACCTCCCAAGAGATCCTATCTGGGTATGTACTGTGCAAGGCCACCCTGCATGAAGTTGCCATCTCAAACATAACTCATGCTTCTTTACTTTTTCTTTTTGCTTTTTTTTTCTTACCATGTTAGAAATGATAGTATGATCATTTCTACGGAGATGTTTATTCTATCTTTTCTTGAGATGCTGAAATCTGTTTAATTTTTAACCTTTCTAGAGGAAAAGATGCTTTCAGTTTTGTGCTAGAAACCAGTTGTTTTTAAAGGAGGTTTTGAATTTGCCAGCACAACCCATCATTCTACTTGATTTTATTTTATTTTCCTTTCTCTAACCCAGTTAGAGAAGCAAAGTATTGTGGAATGGAATTTGTGGAGTCATGCCAATATTTTTTATCTCCTCAACCCCCACAGAACTGTCTTCTCTATCATGAGCCCTTTCTCCGGAAAGATTCCACTGTGAAACAAGCTATAAAAAGTATGGGAATGGCTTTAGGCTAAGCCATAGTATCTCAAGTTCAGCAAAATAACAGTGGTCGGTAACAAGATCAGTGAAGCTTTCCTACTCCATTCTTTAATTTTCCATGGATCCCACATACGTTGGTCTCCTGTCACTATTAAAATCTCAACTGAATCCATTCAAACTTCTGAGTGTTCCTTAGCTAGAGAGAGGGAGTAATATAGTGTGCTCTGTGTCTGTGTACCATTTCCAGTTCAGTAACCAGAAGAGTCTGTTGTTATGACTGTATTTGTTTCAGCAAGGTCATCTTAGCAAACAGACCCGTGCTCAAGCAGTTTAGCCTGTGTTAAGTGTCCTGGTGGCACTGCAAACTTGTTCCCTTTCAAGCAAGGCTTATCTCCTAACATGTACTATAGTAGTAGATCACTGCATTCCAATGATTTGCAACTGTGACAAGCTTCTTAGTTGAAGAAGGAGCTTAGATGCCAGTTCAGAGAAACAAGTCCCAGTATAAACACCAAAGTTGCATCACTTGAATTTAAGTTGGTTTCTACACTGAATTTGTTAAGATGATGCAAAATGCCATGTAGGTGTTGATTATTTTGGATTATGAATGCTGAGTTTCAGTTCTGCTTGCAGTGACAAGGAGGCAATGTAAGGGAAGTCATAACAGAGCGTAGCATGGAATTCCTCATTCAAAATAAGAGTACTGGTGGGACTTCAAATCACTATAAGTTAATCTGTTGTAAACATAGGTAAATAAGGGTGCAGTCTCTGATCAGTAGAGAAGTTCCTGCATAGCAGTGTACCACAGAGCACTTCCCTGAAACTTTCAGTCCAGGCCTGGGGATTTGATTTTTAAATAACAGTGGGCATGTCTATATATGCGCTTTAATGTGCAGTAGATTATTGTACTGCGTATTAAAACATGACATAAAAAAAATAACATTATGCTAATGTGCAGTTAAATGGTCTGTTGTAGGGGTAGGCAACCCCCAGCCCAGGTACCAGAGCGTAGCACGTGAAAGCATTTTGTTTGGCATGCATGCCTCGGGTTGGACAGTGGGCAAGGGGTTTGGGCTGCGCTGCCGCAACAAGGCTCAGGCCCCTCGTGGTTTCCCCACTGTGTGCCTCTGGCATACCAACATCTTATACATTAAGGTTATGGGTGTTTTTGGCACTTTGCCCAAAAATGTTGCTGACCCCTAGTCTACTGCACAGTAAACAAAACTAAAAAAAGCATGCAGCCTAGTTCGTATTCATTTAGTACCTCACATTGGCGGTACTAAATTTAATGTGCATTAATGTACGTGTAGATGCACCCAGAGTATTCAAAAGCAGTATTCATCTGAATTTTTCTGAAGAGAACATTTCTATCGTAGTATTTCAAAAGTGCATGTTGATTAAATACCACTATTTTGAAAAGCACCTTTTCCTATTATACCTTTTGCAAAAGCTTATTTTTTGAGATTTGGCATCAAATGGTGTTCGTTTTGCTGGTTGTCTTACTTCTAGTTTTTAGTCATTCTCTCTGGCTTGCTACATCAAAACATACTAACCTGTAGAAAGTAAAAATGAAAAATGCCATCCCTAACATGTTTACATTCTTGTTGCCCATATTCATTTGTTTCTTTTGTGGTGCTATAGGTGGATATAGTTTTCTGTCCATTTGTTGAAGGGTAAAGGTTGGCTAATTTTGAATGCTTCAAGAAAATAAAGGCAATGGAAACGATTTGGTGAATGCTGTATTACTAGCTCTTGTTTGTTTTTGTAAAAAAACCAAAATGCGTAAGTTCTAAATATCAGTTGCTTAAGAGCTTTCACTAATTGTATTAGATGATACTGGTCCTAGGAGTTTCTGTAGAAGTGCTCATGTAACTGAATTCCATGATACCCGTGATGAGCAAATTAAAAAATGAGCCTGAGCTTTGCAAAGCCAGAGGGATCAAAAGAAATACTCAATTTTTTTTCCCCTTTCTGCAGGTCTGTCCAGCTGGTAGCTCATAGGCTAAGGGTTTAACCCGTAGCCCCTGGGATCCCGCCTGGGTGCCACTGCCAGCTCTTGGCCTGGCAGCTTGGAGTGACCTTGTGGCATGGTGATGCAAGGGACCTGGCAGGGAGCTGAAGGTGAAATGAGGTGCTGTGCTACATAGGGGTGCACCCACCTGCACATGCATGCAGCCCCGGGGGCCCATGAGCCCCACTAGTGCTGCCCATGCAGTGTGTGGGCCCCTGCTGTTGCAGCCTGTGGGGCATGTGGCCCCCAGATGTTTTGAAGTTGAACAGCCCTGCCCTATTGTATAGGAAAACGGCAGGTTAACATGAGTGCTTCCAACTTCAATTATTCAGTTTACTGTGTCTATTCTGTGTATGCGCTTGTTAAAAAAGCGTACATTTCATACTAGTCTAGATATGTTTAAAATGCTTCTGAAACATACAGGTAAATAGGCAGGCATATCATATACTACTGAATTAAAAAAATCCGAGTGGTGGGGGACACGGTGCTTTCTTGCCTTGGAGTGGCTTAAATCCTATACAAAACTCCTTCCTAGGTTAAGTTAAATCAGAGTCCCCCAGCATCCCAGCATGCTCTGCAGCCCTGGGCTGGGCTGTGCTCTCTGCTCCACTGGAGCAGGGCTAGCCCCACCCCTCTGATCCCTAGACAGAGCAGGGGCAGGGGCATGGCCAGATGCCAGCCCCACTAGGGCAAAGGGGGCAGGGAAGAAATTTATTTCCCCCCCTGTCCCACCAGCACGGACCCCAGCCAGGGTCTTCCAGGCAGGGGCACAGAAGCCTCTGTCAGGCATTTCTCCGCTTGCTACTCCAGTGGTTGGGGCATGTCCATCCCCAGCACCAGCCTGGTGTGAATGGAGATGGGGTTTAATTCCCTCTTCTGTCCCCTGTCCCAGTGGCAGGGTCTGCCTGGCCTGGGTGCCGCAGCCTGTGTCAGGGCCCTCCCCTCCTCCACTGCTGCAGGGGTTGGGGCGCAGCCAGGTGCTGGCTGTCGTGGTCCCCTGAGGCGAAGGGGGCAGGGAAGGCGTTTATTCTCACCCCCCCCCACCCTTTTCTCCCCAGGACCCCAGCGGTGAGGTGGGAAGGACCTTGGTGGGGCAGCAGCCCCTATGATGGTGTCCTGGGAGCGCAAGCCCCTTCCTGGCGGGGGGGGGCTAAGCTGCAGGTGGGAGTGGGGTGGCCAGAGCTGCCGCAGACTGTGTGGGGCGAGCAGTGGCATTGAGGCTCAGAGGGGTGGCCACAATCCCCTAAGCCCCCGCTAGTGCGCCGCCTCCAATCGTCCTGCACAGTCTGCAGCAGCTTTGCGTGCCTCGCTCCCACCTGCAGCACAGCACCCCCATGCTGTGAAGAAGCTTGCACTCCCGGGACACCATCACAGGGGCTGCTGCCCCATCAAGGGCCCTCCCCCTCGCCGCTCGAACGGCAGGGGCAGGGGCATGGCCAGAGGCTGCCCGGGGTGGCCCCCTTAGGCAAAGAGGGCAGGGAGGGGGTTTATTTCCCCTCTCCCTCCAGCACAGGGGTCTACCCGGTTTGACCTCAGTTAATTAAGTCTGATACTACATTCAACCAGGTTTATCTCAAACCAGTTTCAGCCATTTTGAAAGTGGTTTATATGCAGTGAACTTTTGTTCTGTTACAGGTTTAAACCAGTTTCTGCTCACTTAGACCAGTTTGTGTAACTTCTGTCCCTAGCTCAGATCTTACTTAATTGCTTGCCTGGCTTGGGATTCTCATGAAAATGTTACATAAGGGAGTGGGGGTGTGTTTTAGGTGTGGAGGCTGTGTATTTCTGTATGTCTTGCAGTGAGTTGTACAGCACTGCTTTTTCGAGTAAGAGGTTATAACTGGGATTTTCAACTTCACATTTTAGTAACTAAGTAATTCTTCTAGTGCTTCTAGGCTTTGGGAGTTGTTTCATGTACAGGGCTCTGTGCCTGAATAAAGGGAGTCTGTCTGGACCCTCCAAATCGCCCCTTCTACAACTCCCATTCCAACCTACAGGAGTTACTTAAATATGTGTTACAACTGCATAATGATTTTACAATAAATATATTGTGCTCATTTTTAACCTAAGCTTGGTGGTTGTGGGAGTTGCTTCATTGCATGACAAGTAAACTGTTGACAGTAATATTTTTACTCTGTCCCATGGCACTTGTGGTGAACTTCTTAGATGAATGCTGAGGTTGTCATCTGATGCCCCTTTTGAAGAAACTGAGTCTTTTCTCTGCTCTCAGGGATCTGGCTTAAGCATACTTGTCAGTAATCCAGCAAACCACTTAATGCCCCTGTTTTTCCTCATAGCTGTAGCCTGAAAAGCTTTTATCTGATGCTTGATTCTGAAAGCCGTCTAGATGCCGTTGACTGGGAGAATGCCATCAGCTGGTGTCATTTGTCATAGCCCCATTGGCTATAATAAAGCAATGACGATTTGCAGCAGCTGAGCATCTGCCCTAGGGTGTTGGCTTCTGGTTTGTATATAGAAATAAAATGTATTCCTGTTCAGGAAAAGGAAGAACTAAGAAGCAACAGTTCTGGTGAAACACTAGCCCTCTTTTGTTCAGT